TAGATTTCCCCTTATTACATCAGAGGACATGCAGTTTATATACCTTCTGAAATGCTACAGGGTCTGCAAAAAAATGTTGCAGTACCTATTTGTCAGGTACACAGAACTGCAGATACCTTTTCAGGAATCAGAAATGATCCATAAACACATTAAGAACACACTACATTCTATATTTTGCATTCTGTCCTTGCAAATGCAATGATATTTTAGAAACAGGTTTTATTAGGAGAATATTGCCAACTTCTTAAACTGTGCTGTTGCCATTATGACAAAGGTTTGTATCATACTTTTAGAAAGGAGTGGAAAAACATTGTAGATAGATTGTGCTCCCTCCTCAGGGGCATAGACAGCATTATAATATAACATATGCATAAAATGTAAAAAGAACTCAGCACATGCGTGGATATGGAGCAGAAGAAATACAGAATTAGGAGGCAGATACTGACTACACAGACAAGAATATGTGTAGTGTATACTCACACATCCACAATCATGCACAGACATTCAGTGCAGCCATAACTGTCTATCCTAGTGTGTCCTTTGTTTCCATATAATCTGCTTTCCTGTTTTACACACATACAAACAGATGGTATAGGGTGAAAATCTCTTGAAAGGCACTGGATGAATCTTGTAAAGAAGCCCATCACCCTCCCTATGGGAAAATAGATCTTCTAAGAGTTTTTCTGCTGACAGCTGAGGAACTGCAGAGTATGTGTCTCCTGTGCAGGAGGAAAAAAAAGGTTTGGAGGTTTTTTGCTTCTTCATAGCTCTGTTTCTGAGTAATGGTTTATACAAAATGCTGTTCTACATCTGACATTAAATAATTGATAAATGTAAAGTAACTCTGTAAAGAAGCACAAGTAGAGATTGCTTATTTGACCAAATTCACCCAATAGTTTAGCTATATAACCGAGTTGCTTTCAGAATATTAACCCTTGCCTGTGTTAAAGCAGAATTGGGTTCTTTTAGCCATATATCAGGTGAATTTGCTGATGACACTACATGGGGTATGAGTGTTGGTCTGCTTGAGGATAGAAAGGATCTACAGAGCGACCTGGACAGACTCGTTAATGGGCTGAGGACAGTTGCAGGAGCTCAATAAGGGAAAGTGCCCTGTCCTGCACTTGGGTCACAACAAACCATGCAGCATTACGGGCTGAGGGAGGAGTGGCTTGAGAGCTGCCCAGGAGAAAGGAACCTGGGGTTGCTGGTCACCAGCCAGCTGACAGTGAGCCAGCGTGTGCCTAGGTGGCCAAGAAGGCCAATGGCACCTGGCCTGTATCAGCAAGAGTGTGGCCAGCAGGACCAGGGCACTGATTGTCACCATTACTCAACAATGGTGAAGCCACACCTCGAGTACTGTGTCCAGTTCTGGGCCCCTCACTTCAAAAAAGATACTGAGGTGCTGGAGTGTGTCCAGAGAAGGGCAATGAGAGTTGTGAAGGGTCTGTAACGTGTCCTGTGAGGAATGGCTGAGGAAGCTGGGTTTGTGTGCTCTTGAGGAGGCTGAGAGGGAAGCTAATTGCTTCATTGCTCTCTACAGCTGCCTGAAAGGAGGCTGTAGTGAGATGAGAGCTGGTCTCTTCTGGTATCCTGCAGTGAGTGGACCAGAGGAAATGGCCTTAAGCTAAGGCAGAGGAGATTCAGATTAGATACTAGAAATTTTTTTTCAGTGTTAGGGTGATCAGACACTGGAATAGGTTGCCCAGGAATGTGCAGAGTCACCATCCCTGGAGGTGCTCAAGAGGTATCTGGATCTGGCACTGGGTAATGTGTTTTGGTGCTTTAGGGGTTACAGTGGTAGTGCTGGGTTGATAGTTGGAGTGGATGAGCTTAAAGCTCTTTTCCAACCTTCATGATTCTGTGATTCTATACAGTAATGTACAAGTAAAAAGAAATGTGTAATAGACATTCAAAACACAGGAGCTGATATTATCTCCACTGAACAGATCAGTAAAACACAGAGTGGCATTAGAGCAGTGGTTACATGGTTTTGGTCTGTTGGCCATGGCCAACCTTCAGCATTACTCCTGGGCCAGCAAGCAGTGGCCACTGGGCATTGAGCTGCACATGCCCCACAGCTGGTTTGGTTTTTGGTGATGGTGTCTGCAGGCTGATGATTGGCAACTGGTGCTCCTTTGAAGGAGCCACAAGCTTCTTTATCCTGGAATGCTGTGTATCCCTCCTTAGCGCTGGGATACCTGGCAGCTTTCCTGTCTGTAGCCATCAGGAGAACATCCAGGCTCACGGGCTGCACAGTGCCCTTGCTGCAGTTTGCTCTTTCCGTGAGTCCTGCCTGGATCACTGGCATGCAGAGCTCCTCCCGTCTCCTTCTGGCCGTGCCAGGGGAGCGGGCTCAGGTGGATGACTTCCCAAGGGTCACATTTCACTTCTAGCTGGCGTTCATGGAGGCTGAGGTGCTTCATTGGCAACTCTTTTACTTGAACTCTGCTTGGCTTGGGGCCCATCCTACTTCTAGGGATGATTTTGTTTTCTAAATAATGTGTTCCAGTTCAGTCAGAAGTCATGGCTGTCATGCAGGAATCTTGTCACAAAATTCTTTGGCCTTTTGCAAATATTACACTGGATTACATAATAGTTGTTCTAGTTTCATAATCTATTAATCTCTACATATATACATCATTATGCTTCTTGAAAAAGCAATGGAAGCTGCTTTTCTTCTGCAGTATCTTCAATTTGTAATTACATCTTGCACTTAAAAATTACTTAATACTAATGATGAGCAAAGTATATTTGATTGAAGATAAAGCCCAGAAAGAGCAACAAAGTTAATTTTAAATGCTTGCAAACAGAATGCTAAAGTTACTGTTCTTACGAGGTTAGTTTGCCATATTTTAGTTTACATCCACCTTCCTGAGTCAGCAGAACTGTGAGAGAACAGGACAGACTTTTTTCTATACTGGCATTAATATTGGAGCAGTTTGTAAAAAGTTTACCAGGAGACAACTACCAGTAACATTCAATTACAACTTAAATGTTCATAAATTTAGGTTACTGACCCAAACAGGTGGGAGACAACATGGTTTTCCATTTTGACAATGTTTGCTTCCTGAACCTCTAAGAGAAGACCTTGGTAGTCCTTAGCATGGCCTTTGCACTTACAGAAAGTGTTCATACCTCAGAAACTTGGCACTTTTCAATAGTTTTCATAGGGCTTTTTCTTTAATAGGGCTTTTTCTTAAATATTTCTTGAAACTGATGCCAGTGTTTCCTGCTCTGTAATTATTGTTTCTCAGCATCAGGGACAGGTTCCCAAAATAATCATTCCTCATATGAGTAGACTTCTTCCATGTGATTTGTTCCAGTGAAATCACTTATCTGTTTTAAATACTGCCTCTGAGACAAAAGGTGGTTACAGCATCAGACCTCCCATAGAATTTCCCTGCCAGTTTAATTCTTTCATAAGCGCAGGCCCAGCCTGCTTTATCAGGTGTTGCCTCTGTAGCTGTACATGATCTGAAATTTCATTGATCTTTGTTTGTGGCAAAATCTTAGGTGACAACACAGTTTTACCAAGAGGAGGAGAGAAGGTATTGTAGTTGCATGAATTAAAAAAAAAAGCAGTAGCTCCTTCCATTAGCTGTGTTTCCTACAGTCACCCTGCAGACAGAGGTATAAAGGCAGGTGCACTACGGCTTGGATGGGTCTACATTTGCCTACTTAAAAGAATGTTTCTGTCTTCCTTGCTTCTGTGTAAAAAACCCAGTCCAACTACCAAACATCCAGAAGCAAGCAAGCAGTAACTCAACAGGCTGTAATCAGAGGAGATGGAGGTGCTTGTTTCATGACCTATTATTTCAGTGGTAGGACTCCTCTTCCTTCTACAAATCACCAACAACTTTCCTTTTAATCATTACAAACATAAGCATGAGTGTTTATCTTATGTCTAGGAGCTAAGTTAAATGGATACAGTAGCCTAAGAGACTGTGAAGAGAGATAATAAAAAGGAGCATCAAGATACACCTGGAAATAAGATGCTTCTAGCTGTCATGTAGGGTTTCTTCATGAAGTGTCCTGGCCCCAGAACCAGCTCAGGGATGCCAACCACACTGTGCTCCGCTCTGGGCTACTGTCTCACCAAATAGAGCCGTGGGTTACAAAGACATTGCTGCTGCATATGGAGCTGTGAGGTGCTTGCTGGGAAAGCTCCCATTAGCCACCTTCCATCTTTTAATGTCCTGAAGTTTATTGAACATCATTCAGCTCTTTTGCAAATTTCCTAGAAAGTAAGACATTATTTAAACTTCTCATAGAATTAGAAGCTTCTAATATGCAAGGGTTTACTAAATGTGATGATTTCCTGTACCCTCATTTTGCTGAATGCTGTGCCTTAATTACCAGAAACAGGACTCTTATTGCAAGAACTTTTTATCATCTTCATTAATAAGTCCTAGTGTTACAATGACCTCTCCATTTGTGACATGGGATAAGCTTTCTCTCACATATTACTGTAGGATGGTGCAGGTCTCAGGAGCTTACCTTGGTCCAAAATATAAGGCTAATTTCACTTGCTTGAGTAATTGCAAAATGTAAATGCCTAGAATATAAGGAAGGCAGAGATGAAGGGAAAAAATCTATCAGAGCAAGACAGAAGTACAAAGTCTTTGTCTAACCATATGATTATTGGCAAAACTATAGCAAACTTCCAAAAGAACTTTAATGGATTAACCGAAATGAAAAAGGTGCTATATAAATTACTTGCTGTTTTCTCACAATTCTAATTATTACCATCAAGAAACTGGAAAGAATATGAGTAATTATGTATACCAACTGAAAAGGTTTGATAAATTATTTAAGGGTTTTATAATTTCTTGAAATATATTCTCTTATGGGCTTTTATACAAACCAAATGGTCTCATTTTACTCATAAGATGTTTTTGTTAAGCTTAGCAATAATTTTTCTAGGACAGATAAAATAAAATAGTAGTGAGTAGTCATTTGGAAGCTACTGCTGTAGCTTTCATCTGTCAGCACTTGGTGTTTGTGCTTTTCTCTGTTTGGTTTTGACAGAATATGGCTGACTTTAATGTATTGCATTTGATGTGTTTTCCTATCTAGTAACTGTGAGATCAGAGAGTAAAGGGAATATTGACAGGTCTGGTTCTAAGCCCTGATCTGTAAAGTGAGCTTTAATGACGAACATTTATAAAAGCTGGACCAGTGGGAAGCTGATAGAGGTTGTTCTTCATTGAGCAGAGACTGAAAGAAAAATCTCAGTGTTGCAAAGGTGGCTACATGGATGAAAAGCACCACTGTGTTTGCCTGGGGGGAAAAAGAGGTATCTTCCTGCAAACCAAGCCTATTTTCTTCAAATAACCTTCAAGGAAACAACCTCTGCCAAGATAGGAGCTGATTACCAGTTGCAGGCCTCAGACCATAGCCATTATTGTTTTAACATTTCTGCCTTCCTCTTTATCTCAGCAGGAACCAGGCTATATGGGCTGCCGTGTAACTTGACCTTCCTTGGAGATAAAAAGACAGATTAGCACCCAGCAATAGCAAAGCCAGAAGCAAAAAGACAGTATTTAGAAAATAAAGGAAAGAGCTGGCACTGTATGATTATGTGTAATGTTCTACACTGTGCAGCGTGGGTGGCCTGATGAACAGTTCCCCTCCATGAAACCCAGACAGAAACTTGGGCTTGGTAATAGTTTCTCCATTTTTAACCTTGTCTGTGCAGAGATGCTGTGATTTTCATCATGAAGATGCTAATGATGATGGTTTCCTTTAACATTTGAGAGTGTGGGGAAAAAAAGGAAAGAAAAATGGAAAGGAAAAGAGGGAAACCTTCTTTTGCATTACTTGTAGTAAATGAAAGGAATAGCAAATCTGCAGAAAGAACTGGGTCTGAATCTTTAAGTCTTTGTTGTTGTTTTACTACTGTCCTCTGAGCTTTCCATGCAACAAACCAGTGAGCCCAGAGATCAGCCAGCAATTAGGTATGACATGCTCTAAAGTGTCTCAGGGATGATAAAGAATGGTAAATGCTCAGTGATTAATCATTCAGCATCAAAAATCTGAAAAACCATGGAAAGGCAAAAAGGGATGCTGTTATGATCATCCATGGGTACTCAAACTGGTGTGACAACTGTACATCAGGTCACTGTCAAAACCCAACCAAGCCACAGCTGCACAGCCATGAACTCCCAGTTAAATCATGGGGGAGGCAAAGTGACAGATTTCCTTCAGCTTTTCTCAACCACCACTTCATCTCAAAACCAAAGCAAACCAAAACTCAGTTATGTTTTTGTAAAGGTTTCAAGCCAAAAGCTGTAGAAGCTGTTTTTCCTATCAGACTATATGGCAGATAAATACTCGAGGGTCGAATGGCTGATAACTTCCTACATAGACATGGGCAGAAAATACAAATTCAGTAATCAGGTTTCCTGACAGATAATGCCACGTCAGTCTTCACACATCCTCATACTGTCTCATATATCTTTAGGTTATAAGCTCCTCAGAGCAAGTACCCTTGTGGTGCTCTGATCACAGTTAGAGTGTTTTAGTACTATTACAGAATGTGTCAGACAAGAGAGGAGTTGCAGTTCAGTCAGCTCTTGTTAAATGGGACTTAAGGTTGCATCCTTGCCTTTATTTTGAATGGCTCCTCAAAATTACAGGAGATTCTAACTAAAACCACAACAAAACAACCTCCACTCCGAATTATTTGTACTGATGCTAGTGGCAGGAAAGGGTGCTTGTTAAGAGGTGGCTCATTTGCAGTTTTCTAAGTCCCAAGTAGTTTTTCCAGCTGTTACTTACAGGTAATAGAATACATTTTTCCTTGGACCTTCAGAGTCACTGGGAAGTGTTAAGCTGCTCACACTATCCAACCTTACATTGTTCTGCAAACAAAAAAATAATGTGCTTTCACCTCAAAGATGACCAGGCAAAGATTGTCTAACAAAGACAAAGAATTCAGTCATATGACATATTTTAAAAGCTTTATTTTCCTCACCATCCTGCCTTGTGTGAATTGTGTGTGCTCAGGGGTGACCAAAAAGCAAAAATCCCCAGAGAACAAACCAGCCTGAAGTCTGGTTACAGCATTCTGCCACCATTAAATGGTTCTTTTATAACTACTTGGTGGTGAAAATAAATTTACTTTTTTTGTGCTTTTTCCTCCTTCCAGACTCTGACTGCACCTGCTCCATTCGCAGATGAAACAAGCTGTCAGTGCCAAGCACCCCATGAGAAGTTAACCATTGCACAAGCCCGCCGGGGAACACCAGGTATGTGGAGAGATCCACAGGATCACGGGCACTCCCAAAGCCTGCTTCTTCCATGCAAACATCAATTAATGCTTATTTGTGCCTTCTACTCAAAAGCAAAAGCCTAATGTCTAGTGCTGTCAGGTAATGGAGAAGAAACCAGCAACTTCAGAGCCATTATGTTCTCTTAGAGAAACAACAAGAGAAAACATTTCAAGTTAGGGTTTGATGTGTTTGTGGATGTTGGTTGGAAGGAAGGCTTGCCAGCCCACTCCAGCCATCCTGAAAATTGTGTTATGTAGTAGCTATCTTCTGGATTCTCATCTCTGGAAAACTCTTCTTTTACTGGTGTTCCTAATGATCACATCAGTGGCCTTAAAGGTTACTTGCCAGTTTCTTTATCTGGGCATATATGATTGGATTGGGGAAGCAGGATGATTTCACATGTAGTCCCAAACGCATCCTTCATCCCGCCCCCCCACATTTCAAGAGGTTATTTTTTAAAAGGCTCTGTTTACTTACTCTGCTTATCTAAAATACACTTTTAAAGTACGAACACATTACAGGAGCAAGCTTCAGCTTTCCAGTCAGCTGTGCAAGGAACAGTGTTCTCCCGTGGACCCTTGGATGTCCTGACTGCAGAGACATCTCTCTGCTGTCACTGAAACACAGTCCATGGGGGTTTGAGCTCTGTTGCTTTCATCTCCACTGTGCTTTTGCTTGGAGGTGGCGAAGCATGTAATTTGAGAAAGCAAGTCCTTTTTCAATCTGGAGGCTGCTGCTGGAGGTGCTATACAGAAAGAGTTATAAGGGTTGATAACATGAGAAAGAGAAGAACTTGGGGAAAGTCTGGGAAAAGTGAAGTATAAGGTTTGCATAGAAGAGGTAAGCAATTGATTTTTACAGTAGTAAGCTGTGGAAAAAGTCAAGGCAAGAGGGGAGGAAAGGGAAATGATGGGAAAAATCCATAAGGCATATCTGATTAGAAAGGCAGAGAGAAAAGAACAAGACATATGGTTGAACTCTGAATGAGGCAGGAAGATGACATTTTTGCTAAATTAGAATATGGGGATGATGGATGATAATAAATAGGGTAAGTGTGAGAGAAAACAACAGAGAGTACAAAAAACAAGTAATGTGCAGTATCAAAAACTGCAGGTTCACCTGTGGGGCTTTTGAATATCAGAACTGGGGTAAATCTCTGCAATCATCTGATCTGGGAATAAAATGCCATCCAGGAGAATTAAGTGCAACTTGTTTGGGATCTGAAAAATCACTGTTGTGTTTCTTTCTCCACAGTTGACAGACCTGTCAGAGTGTATGCAGATGGAATATTTGACCTCTTCCACGCTGGCCATGCTAGAGCTCTTATGCAAGCCAAAACTCTATTCCCAAATAGCTACTTATTAGTAGGAGGTAAGATCAGAGTTATTTATTGCACTGGATTTTTGCTTCTGTGCTTCACTATCAGAAAGTTATTGCTGTGCTCCCACCCCCAGCTGTTTATACACTATGACTTGAATGCTGCTTTCACTCAGGGGCTTTCTGTAGGTGATTTGCCTTGAATTACATCTTACAATTGCATCAATTAAAGTAAAAGTCAAATTCTGCCCTCAGCAGCACAGGCACAATTCCCATTCTAGTTAAAGCAGGTGCCTGCATGGCTCTGAGCTTAAAATAGCTCCCTATGAATAATTTACCTTTTTCAGTTATTTGCTCAAAATTGTTCAAAGACGGAGATGAGTGAATGAGAGCAACCATTATTTATATCTGGCTCATTGGTCCCTTTGCCAGCCAGGCACAGACCATGACCTCTGCCTGCCAGGTCCAGACCCAGCTTTCAGCATCATCACAGAAGCTACATCTGGCCATTGTCATTGAAGACCCAAATATAGGTCATGAGTGGAATGCAATTTCAGTACTCAGGTGTCCCCAGGCAGATTACTTTCTTAATTCAGTTGTTTTTTGGTTTTTTGGTTTTTTTTTTGCTAAGAATATCTTCTTTTCTTGGTGTGTACCTGGCTAACAGCTGTTCAGCAGTTGGCCTGTGCCAGAGGAGTCACTGGAGGGTGGCTCTTTCCTACCTAGTAGGCTGTGCAAGCCCTGCTCTCATGAAGCCTCATAAATGTGCAGTTTGGTTCCATTTTCCTTGCACCTCCAGGGTTGAGATATTCCTCGCAGAAACATTTCACAGCAACCTTCATTCAGCTGCTCAAATGCTTTACAGTGAACATGAGTGCAACCTTCAGGTACTACAAGGTGCATTATTTTGCATATTTGTCCTGAACAGTTGTGGGAGTGGGGCGGGGGGGGAAAGACCCAACACACAGGAAAAACAAAATCTCTTTATAAACACATACTTTAGTTTTACTCAAGTTTATGAAATGTGGCAATTCCCATGGAGCTTCCTGTGAGGTAAAGGACAAGTCCCTTTGTTATGAAGGAAACATTAAGGATTCTCTGGTTTTCTGCTGAGCCAGACAACTTGCAGAAGAAGCAAGTGGAAGCGCAAGACTGTGAGGTTTAAAAAAAATGCAAGTTATGTACATTATGTTGTTGTTTTCAAAGGATATGGGGTTGCCCCAGATAAGGGAAGGAGCTTTGGGGCAAAAGCCTGGCTCCTTTGAAATTCATGGCATAGCTTCACTTTGCCTTTATTTTTGGTATGAAGGACAAAGCAGCCAGCACTCATCAGCACCTTCTCCCAGCAAGGCACTGTGTGTTAGCATGTTTAAAAAATGGACACCTTCCCACACCCACATACAATTTGTGCTGCAAAAGCACCGGTGTCATATGTCTTTGTGGGCATCACAACCAACCTCTTCTATTTCTTCTTGTGAAGACGATTATTTGGACCTAAGATCACTTTTCTTTTTAAAATGGACATCTATACCTTCCTAAATCAGTCATTAGAGCAGGATGACAGATTCAAAAGAAGTACAAAGAAAGATATTGTGTCTGTCTCCACTGTGCATGAACAAATAGTAATCAGAAAATAAAATCAAACCTTTCTTCAGAATTCAAGCAAAAATTACTATTTTCCAGTAATTTTGGTAGACCTTTTCTTCCAGGAGAGAGTAGCCTAAAGATGTCATAAAGGCTGTAAATAAATACAAATACAGTCTCTGAAGGGATTGTTCTCCTGAAAATGCTTTGATCACCATTAAATTTCTTGTCAGCAGGCATCAAAACTGACATAACAGGACAGAGTAGCATTTTGCTTGCTGAAATTCATACATATGTTATTATCTGGCTTTGAATTTTGCGCAAGCTTCATGGATATCTAAGCTTTTCTACATTTTTCCTACTTTGAAAGTCCTTAATGACCATCACAGCAAGAGCATCCATTTCAGATCTCAGAAAAGACTGCATCTTTGCCAGCACCTTGCCTAATAGGTTGATGTTTTCAAATTAGAAAGAAGCAGCAGCTGTAGGGCTCTTACACTTCACTGATAATGTTGCATTTATCATTTGTCAAGTACATTTACAGACAAAGATCCAAAGGCACAAGTTTGACCTGTGATGAAGGACAACAACTGGAAACCCAGCTATAAATGGGTATCACATTATTCCGTGTGGGGTGTCAAATGACTGTTGCAGCTGTAATGTTGGACAGAGGTGGTTCAGGAGAAGGTCACTGTTTTTTACACAATATTATGTGGGTAGAAAGATAATACCTAACTCTTACAGTCCTCTGGGAATGTGGGTGTTGCTGGCCCTCATTTTAAAAGCAATGTGACAAAGTATTGGTGCATCCAGAGTTAAAGATGCAGGATTTCTGGCCCTTTAACTCTGCTCATTTCACTAGAGCATGTGGCTTCTCCCAGTCCTTTCCCTGGGGCTTCCTTCAGCAGCTTTCCATTTGAACATGGCACAAGCCTTACTCTTCTTTCTGTGAAACCTGCTGAACTCAAAGCTAAGCTTGGAGACAGATTCATGTAAAGTTTTCTGCGACTTTTTTCCATCAGGGTTTATTTAATGAGAAACTGTCTCACTGTGATTTTGAGCTTCGTTGACAAATTTCTCTTTTAGAGTGTTGTTTACATAAAAATTAAAAGCAGGAAGTGGAGGCCTAGAGAGTCTGAGGGGTCTCCATCTTTGAAACCCAACTGGACGTGGCCCTGAGCAACCTGCAGTTGACTCTGTTGGGAGGAGGGGGTTTGGATTAGGCGATGTCAAGTGGTTTTCCTGCCTTGACCATTTTGTGATACCTGAAGTTAGTGAGCACTCTTTGATTGTCCATGCTGTGTTCTTTGATTGGTTTCAAAGCATCACCCCTGAAAGCCATCACCCCTGAAATATCACAGCCCATGAAATCCCCACTTAAGAGTGGGATTGGTTTACCTTAGCATGTAAAGGATACCACCTGAAGTGCCTTAAAATACCATACTTGGCCTCTGACTGCAGCTCCAGAAAGAGAAGGTTGTCTCATTATTACACAGTTGTATCTGCCAACTCCAAGCAGAACTCTTAGATGTCCTAGGACACCTCAAAAATTGCTAAGCTAATAACTAAGTGATTTACCTAGTATAATCAACTCCTGGTCATGCTAATTTTACTGAATGTGGAGCCATTTTGCTCATACTTCTATGTTTTAGTTTGCAGTGATGATTTAACTCATAAATTCAAAGGCTTCACTGTGATGAATGAAACTGAGCGATATGAAGCCCTCAGACACTGTCGTTATGTGGATGAGGTCATCAGAGATGCACCCTGGACACTGACACCTGAGTTCCTTGAAAAACATAAGGTACATTTCTCCCCTTATCTCTCCCTTCCCCTTTGCAGACTGACAGTTGAGAATGAGCAAGTCTGAAATCCTACTAGGTGGAGCAAATTATTGTATTCAGTTAATTCCAGTCACTGAAATTAGGTACCTAGCATTCCTTGCCTCCATCTCTTTCAGAAAACATTATATTTCTTTTGCCTTTTTTTCTCAGTATGCTGAGATGATTTCTCTGCTGGGATTTTTGAAGGATAAAATAACACTGAAAAAATTACTGATAAACTGACTTTCAGAAAAGGAGATGGTAAACCAGGAAAGTTTCCTGGTTTACCATCAGTGACCTAGTGACTGAAGTCTTGAATTAAAGGTGTGCTTCCTATTAATGGCAACAGGTGCAATATCTAAAAACACCATGTGCCCTCTAAAAGGCAGGATAGAGTGTTTTAGATGCTGTTGATTGTCTTGCAACACATATGAATCTTGACAAAAGCATAATTAAGTAGGATGTATTTTAGTGTCTGCATCACTAGGTGACAAAAGGACAGCATGATAGTACTAGGTATACACGTGAGTATGCACTGCCCTAAGGACCCAAAATCAATTATCCTGCCTCCATGGTTTTGAAAGCCAAGGCTTCACCACTTGCTTTTGCAGTAGAAATAAAAGCAGGAACCTGTGTCTTGGGTTTTGCATATCACACTGAGCCAGTCAGAGTGATGTGGTAGTGGCAGTGCTTTTGGAGAGAAGATTTCTGTTTTTTCATAATTGATCATACAACACAGCAGTTGCAGGCCCAAATCTAGTACAATACACTAGGTGATAGCTTTAGGATGAGAATATCAAAAGCAAGTTAGCTGAAGTCAAGAAAAGAAAGAACTCTCCATAACAATCCCCCAGTGAACCAAAATCTGGTGATGGTGATGTCATTCTTCTGTTCACTGGCAGATTGACTTCGTAGCACATGATGACATCCCGTACTCTTCCGCTGGATCGGATGACGTATACAAACACATAAAGGAGGCAGGTAAGAGCAACTTTATATTTTTAGCACCTTCCTTTTCAGCCTCAGCTGAAATTCTTCTACTGCCTTTTAACCAGAACTGCTGGGAGAGAAGCAGTAGAGGTAATATCATATTGTCGTATACCCTAATGGTAGGTACTGCTGAGTTGAGCAGAAAGAAAACCTCAAAGGACATCCTTGGCTGAATTCCTGCCATAACCTCAAGGAAACCATTCAGATCTGGCACAAAATAGACCCATCTGCATTTTTAAAACCATTTTATAGTGCTTGATTAAGAATTTTGAATGGATGAAAATGAGTTCAGTTCCCACAGCAGCCCAGCCAACTTTAGTCAGTTTTTGATAACCACAAACTGACACCTCCTTGACACATCCCAGTCCTTAATATGGGCAAGCACAGGCAACCTTCAGGAGCCATTAGGATCCACTTGCACTGAGGGTTCTTTTCATTACACTAGCAGAGGGTTTAAATCAGTATCAGAGTAATTCATTTCCCATGATCGTTCAGCAGTTTGGTTGACTACCATATTACATTGAACACGAAGATGCTGAACTCATTAGGAATTTGTGTCTCTTCAGTTCAAGGAAGATGAATTAAATTTGAGGACATAACGTTAAGCCAATGCTTGCCAGTAGTAGCTATCCTAACAGAGTGAACAGTGGAAGGAGGAGGAACAAATCACATCCTTCTGCTGCTGCTCCCTGGAGATGCTGCTTTGAACCCTGGCAAATCCAGCCTCTCTGTTCTGCACAGACATGTATATTGGAAGCTTGAAAAAATTCCAGAGCAATCTGCCTGATGATAATATGCCATGCAAAGTGACCTCAAACTATACAATGATAGCTATAGACCAGCTATTGACCTGAGCTGAAGGAATAAGCTTTTTATAGCGGCAGCTCTTGATAGTTTTTCACTTGTGAACCTCCCTGTGGTATCAGACTCACAACCTTCCTTTGGGAATGACTGTTCTATAGTTTCAGAGCCAGCTTCCTTCAGTAGGCAGTGAAAAAAAGGCCCCTCTGGTAAGAATGGGTCACCAAGGGTCATACTGCACACATGCTGCACAGGCAGCTATTTTACTTTTCTTCTGAAGTTGCCAAGTGCACAGGACAACACAACAGGAACTCTTGGTGTTACTGGATCATTGCTGGACTTGGTGTGAGAGTGCCCAAACCTGGCACACCCTTCTCTGCTATCGCTGAGCACAGGCACGGTGCACACACGACCCGATGAGAAACTCAGACTTTGCAGAAGAGAGTATGGACTTGCAGCTTCAGGGACTTGTGGTCTGTTGTGTCTGTCACCATGAGATACCAGAGAAGCATCTTGGGTCTTGTATGGCTGGATTTTGCTATGTATAAACTGGGAATAATGTTAACTTATTTGTGATGAGTTTTGAGATCTAGTGCTGTAATAGTCCCTAATGCTCCAGAGCAGCATTATTACAATAATGAATTTCCCCTTTCTGCTAGGGGTTTTGTTTTAAATAGACCGGGGCTGTTGATGCATTTGCACATTTTTTCCATAGTTCCAGTACTCCCATTTTCTCACATCAGGTTGTTGGAGAGCAGAAAAGTGGAAGGGAACCAGGGAGCGCCTTGGGTAGATTTTCATGGGCTCCCAATTCCCCACTACCTTCAGTGGGTGGGAGGGCATATGGGCAATGGTCAGCTGGGTAACAGGGCCCTGACAGAAACTGTGCACGTCTGTGAACACTTAGCTTGGAAAACATGGATCACTCCAACACATGAAGCATATGAAGGCAAAATCAGTGACTAAGGGTAATGTCCACCTACAGTTCCACTTTCAGCTTAACAAAGGTGGGGTTTGGATTTTGTCCATATATTCTTGTAACTTTTATCTGTAAAGGTTTCTGGCTCAAAGTGGGTTTCACTGCTTCCAAAAATAGTTTTCTGAGTGACTGGTGGAAGCCTGAAAAGCAACAGTCAGGGAAACATGTCTGCTCATGATTAAAGTAATCTATTTTTTTAGCAGAGTATTAATTAAGAGATCAGAAAGAAAAAATATCACATAACATTTAGTCACAAGAGGCTGCTAAGCTTCTTGATTCTTTGAGTCTTTTTCCATCCCTGTAAAATTAGGTACCAATGCCTGCTTACTTTAAGTGAACGTGTGGGGATTCATTTGCCAGCTATAACACCATTTTAAGACAAAGCACTATTTTCTTTTCCCAAACCATCTCCAGTCTTCTCTCTCTCTTTCATCAGCAGCTTCATGTTGCAATTACATGTAAGTGAGAGTAGAAATTTTTTTTGTAGCCCTAAATAACTACTAAACCAAGGTGTGCCTGCACTCTGCTACTGTTGCATTTGTGAATTGCATTAACAGTTCAGATGCTCCTGCTTTAGTGGGGAGCAATGAGAAAGCTGCATATATTTCAGTTATGTTGAGGAAAATATGAGCAGTATTGATAAATGGCCAGTTTTCTTGGGGGCTGATTTGTCAGAGCAGGGAGGATGGTTATGCAGCCACTGGCATGGCTGGGTGGACATGAAACACTACACCTCACACACATGACACTTCATTTTTCTGTTACAAACCACTGGCACCTCCAGGGCTTTTTCCAGTTACTGTAATGCATCTTTTTCCTGGCTTTTGTCAAGGCCAGAGGCTGGTCTGTTCTACTCAGCAGAACAGAGACTGTCAGGTGCAGCGCAGGAGTGGAAATAAAGGAGAGCAGTAAACTCCCTCCTTCTTTGTATTAAATAAGGCTGTGCTTATGGAAAGAACTGCTCAGTGAATTGGTCACAGCTGTGAAGCTTGGCCTTCCGGGCTCGGGAGCCCCTGCCAGTCTAATAACTTCCACATCACAGCTGACGCTGTACAGAGGGCGTTTTTAGTCTTTCTAAAGACCTGAGAGAAAAATGAGTAGTATAGCAACCTTGCCTTCCCCAAACTCACACAGAAACAACAGGAAAGAACTAGGAATAAGGCAGAATTGTAAGCCTCTTACCTTTGTCGGGCATTTTAAGTTCATCCTCAGCTATCTGCCACAGTGCCTGGTCTTGCCAAGCTTTATCAGCAGGCTTTCTTTTCCCACTTTGCTCAGGAATGTTTGTGCCTACGCAGAGAACCGAAGGTATCTCCACATCGGACATCATCACTCGCATCGTGCGGGACTACGACGTGTACGCGCGGCGCAACCTCCAGCGAGGATACACCGCCAAGGAGCTGAACGTCAGCTTCATCAATGTGAGTACAGTGATCCATGCTTGCTCCTCAAACACTCTCTGCTAGCATCCTGAATGTAAAGGTTAAGAAATTATATCTTCCTCATGATGCTTCTAAAATAGCTGGAAAGAACTTAATTTAAAAGACACTGGTAAGCTGAGGGTAGTTTTAATTGCTCCTATTAATTAGCAGCTTCCTTTCCATCTTACACTATTAACAAAGCTGCTGCTCCTCTTTCCTCCTTGAGCTGTAGGTGACAATGACACACTAGGAAGGAGCCCACCCTTCCACCAGAAGCTGCTCAACCATTCACCCAATACATGGTTTCTTTCTATATTCCTATTCCAAGAAGGCAGCCCAGAGAGCATGGATTTTGAGATCCAAAGTTTCTCTACAACGTGATAGGATTAAAAAACCAACAAAACAGAAAACCAAAAACACCCTAACAAAGCCAATCACAGAGCAGTGAGACTACTAGGGAAAGCTAAAATGGTTTTCAAAAGACAAGGAGGTATGCTAGGAAGCTGGTACATAAATAATGCTGCTGTAGAGCTCAGAAACCACAATGGCAGGAGAGCTATGTGAAAGAATGGCTCAGATTATTAATCTTCCATATACAGACCTGCCCCTCCAATGAGAAGTAAACACTTTATGGAAATTAGATTTTACCTTCCTTCATTTTCTGTTTCAAGTCTTGACTTAAAACCTCAAGACAACCCACGTAACTGAAATCTCTGTTGTGACTGAGATGGCTCACAGCAGGACTTCTCACCTCCCTCCCTGGAGCTTAGAAACCCCCTTGTGAATGACTGAATTGTGTCATTTCATTAGAGTTTATCTCTTTCTTATTTTGAAGTCTGGCAGTCTAACCCCATATTACAGGGCATAAATATTTATTTCACTGTGCTTTTTTAAAAGTCTTCTGAAAAATCTTGCTTGTAAGTACTCTGCTCAGAAAGATCACTATTGCAAATATCCATTAAAATAAAGCATGCTGGATGCCTTGGAGATTCTCAAATTTATCCTTGAGCAGCTGTGAGGTTAAGATACTGTTGCATAAGTCATGCTTGCCCCCATCTTAGACACTGATGTCTCCTGAAGAACCTCCTGACATGATTGTTTACCTTGCAGTAATTTAAACGCAGAAATACTGATTTGCACTGGAGACTGTTTGTCTCAAAATTAAATCCCCAGGATTTCACAAGAGCACTGGTCTTGTTTGCAGAAGGGCACTGGTTTCCTCACTAAAGGGCTGATCACCGTTTAGGCACAGAGGAAGTCTGGTTTCTTTGGACCTTGGGGATTTTGTTTGTGCTTGTGGCTTGCAAAGACAGTTCTTTTAGTGAGCTAGAATAAACCCCGCTTCAGTGCTTATTTTTTAAAAATAAATTCAAGTGGCCATTAAAGGGAGTTAACAGAAAATTAAAAGCCAATATTGAGCTGTGCTTCTACACAGACCACCACACCTTCAAGAGCACAGCCTTGCTTATTTGCTTGTACCAAAAACTTGTGGAGCACACAAGCATTTCAAGACAAAAGCTCTTTATTCCTGAAGTATTTCAGAAGCTTTTTCCAGGAGCTCCCTAATATTATTTTCTCTCTCTCTTTCTTTCTTTTCTGTTTGACTTAGCAATTAGGAGCTGCTGTCTTTTCTGTGTAGTTTGCTGGCCACAGACCATTGGCCTACACACATCTGTGTTGGAGCCAGAAGCTCCTGTATTAGCCAGGCTCAGAATTTATGAGAGTTTTCCTTCTGCTCTGCAGAAATCCACCCAAAGAGACATTTTAGTCCAAGTTAACATCCAGGCTGGCAAGTCAGCAGCATTTGCTAGGAAACAGGGAGATTTCCCTTTTGCCTACTCTTAAGTTTGAGCTGTTAATTTCCCACTCATATCCTTCACAAGATTCACATCACTTTCAAAGTGCATTCAGTTTGAAAATACAGAAAGATTCATGTAGTGGATTAAACACAGTAATCACACAGGAAATCTTTTCAATATGTACCTTCTGCACTTCATTCCACAAATATTAAACTTGCATTTATAAAAATAATGTGGGAAAAGCTAACCAAGGCCATATGTATTAGGATGCATTAATGCAATTTTTTTTCTTCTTCTCAGTTGTCTGTGGCTAATTATTCCCAAGTCTTTTTATTAATCTTTGACCACACTTTTAAAACAGGAGAAGAAATATCGCTTTCAAAACCAAGTGGACAAAATGAAAGAAAAAGTCAAGAATGTGGAGGAAAAGTCAAAAGAATTTGTTTACAAGGTGGAAGAGAAGAGCCATGACCTGATTCAGAAATGGGAAGAAAAGTCCAGGGAATTTATTGGCAACTTTTTAGAGCTGTTTGGACCTGATGGAGCTTGGGTAGGTATTCTGCCATCCCAGGAAGTCTGAGTGTGTTTATTTCTGCTCTCTAACACAGGTGAAGAGCAGATACTTTTCCTGCAGTCTTTGTCTCGAAAGCCAGCACAGCAGGATAATGGCAAACCTGGCTGCTGAAGCCATTAATGCATACCAATACTGCAACAGAAGGATTTGCTGCTTCTGGCTGTTGCTTGTTTGGGATATCTGTATTTTGTGAAGGTGTGATGATGAACATAATGCTGCATTCAGCAGAGCTGCATCAGAGCACCACACAAGCAAACAGGCCAATACAGTCTGTTGGCCCTGTTAGCATTAAATGCAACCACTCCTACATCAGGGATGTACACTGGAGGTAGTGAGGAAAAACAGGACCATTGCAAAGGTTTTCAGTAGTTCTCTTCCTGGTGTGTATGCAGCAGTAGAAGATTATAATTTTCTAACTTCAAAAACTACTGATAAAAATTCCAAGAAGTTATTTTACTTGTCAAGTTCAGGCTCATCTGACTGACAGCAGGGAAGGTTCAGGTGGGACTGTAGCATTTTCAAAGCTCTCCTTGGTATGTGCTGGCTTCACAGAGCCATTTACTAAAGGTCCCCAAGTGCCTTGGAAAGGCAGCTCAGAATTTGCAACAGCATATTTCTGAAGAGAAACCTGCTCAAACCAAACTCATGCACTGAGTGGTGAGCTGATAACGCTTCAGAGCCCCAAAAGAGTCCTGGCCCGCATCTGTCAGTTCTGATAGCTTGCCAAACCTCCAGAAGCTTTGTGTGCTTGTATGACTCTTCTTTGCTGCATTGAAACGAGTAACAAAGCTTAAATTGAATGTAGAGTTTGTCTGTGTTGGGATGAAAGCCCAGACCCTCCAGTGCATGCACCATCTCAGACACACTGCTCTGGGTGCAAACTCTGAGTGAAAAAGGCATCTTCTTTTGGAAGGAACTCAGCAGGTTTTGGGTTTTTTTTGTAAACAAATAATGTAGGAAGAGTCACAAAGCTTTTGTGAATTAAGTAGCTCACATCAGTGCCGTGTCACAACTCAGTGCTACCAAGTCATACAGTGCCTGCCTCTTACTGGAGTTCTCATCTTTGCACTGACTTGCCATGTTGATTACCAGTCAGTTGAGAAAAACCTAAAACTAGGCTGTGAAGGCTTCAGAACAGAGGCTGTCATCATACAGTTACTTCTGTCCATGCAAAGGTGGTGATCACTAACCAATACAAGCCCCAGCCACATGAGCAGTGAGCTTCTATAACAGTTTGTTCATTGACACTGGCTTGTTCCTGGGGAAGGGCAAGAAGGCAACTCTTCTGATGCAATGCCCAGGCTTACCTACATTGTCCACATCCACACGAAGCTTCCTCTGTGAGTTGTTGCCCATAGAGCTTGGTGTGTGTTCCCCATGGAATGGTCCTTTGGCCATATGTGCTGGATAACTAAAGCTGATGCTAACAGAGTACATGAAATTCACAGGAGGTGAGATGAGTTTAGCTGTGCAGAGACAGGGAAAGAATTCAAAAGCATTGATCCTATTTCCTGGCTCTACCCACTCAACAGTGCATGCTAATGGCATTTTTAAAAACCTTTGCTGATAAAACATTTTACCAAATTTAATTAAAGAAAAGGTGCTCTGCCTATGTCTTTTAAAATTAGAAACTCTTGTTTCCTGAGTAAGTGTTTGACCACAGAGTAGGAAGTCTGGTGCAATCACAGGGACCTTTGCTAAGAACAAGAGGAGTGAAATCTCTTCACAGTGTTGTAGGAAAAGCATCGGTGACAGCAAGCTGAGAGGTGGTGTAGCTTTTTTAAAATCAGTTTGAGCCTTGGCAACAGGAAAGACTTTTAAAAAAATGATAACTTATTATTAGTGTCAAAACTGTTATTAATGCTAATTCGCCTTATCACTGTTAGTTAGAAGTTGCTTTTAATGTTGACATTAAAAGTACAGGAATCATTATGGGCATGCTGGATTCCTAGATCAGTAATTTGCATGCCATTAATATGCTATTATTATTTCACAAATAATTATTATAATATACTTTATGCTAGCATCAATTTTCTAAAAGTAAGGGCTGTGTAACCCACAGAAAAATGCCTGTTTGTGAAAGAGGTCAAAATGTCAGTTTTCAAATGTCCAGATGTCTGTAATTCATTGGCAGTTTCGCCCACCTGTGCAATCCCCTGTGCATATGTTTTCCTCAAGAGAGTCACAGAGAGGTCAGAAACAATGATTAGTGTGGCATGAAACTTCTCTGTGGTGTGAGACAGGACCACCACACAGTCTGGCACCCAGGGCCTAATGGGAGAGACACCACTCCAGGGTGCAGGTGTCCATTCCAGTTCCTCTCAGACATGTACAAGCAGGCACCTGCAACTGAGGTCAGTGGAGAGAAAGCACAGCTCACTCACAGGGCAGAGTTTCTGCGCCAGTCTCTCTCAGAAATGTCCCTTCAGATGAGGAGTCCCTTCAAGGGACTGGCTTCCCCCTGCTCAGCACACAGGGATACTTGGGGAAGGTTGCCTTCCAAACAGCTGACACACCTCAGACGTCATCAGGGGCTCGGGTAAGACAGGTTGCAACTGGAATCTGGGGATGGTGTTTAGGCCACAGCACCTATCTGCAGCCTGGACCTAAAATGGCCTTGGAACAATCAGCAGCTCAAAAGCAGACACCCAGCTGGCACTTGCTTTGTAAAGCAAAGGGGTATCAACATACAGGCAGTAAAATTCTGAAACAGGGAAAATATTTTTTCCCAGTAACAAGTTTGCCAAAATCAAACCCTAAACTGGTTGAGTGTACCTGAACTTGCTTGAGTGAAGACTTTGAAATTATTTCCCTACCTCTGGTAAAGGACCACAGTGCATCCAGCCTTGTCTAACCCTCCAACACCCCAAGGAAGCCATTAACACTTGTTCTACTTCTTCAGCACCCAATGGCCCAAGGAGCTCCTTGCCTGCAAAGGGCATGGCTTACTGACCCTGCTAGGGCACAGCTGGAGAGAAAGGTGTTCTGAGGCAGGTGAGTGACACCACCTCCTCCTCCTGCAGCGCTGTGGTTTCAGCCAGCAGCCTGGTGGTTCCAGCTCTAGTGCAGGAGGCAACATGGAGGGGCTGGGCACTTGCCCTGCTGAAGGTGTGAGTGCATCAGTTTGTTCCAGCAACAAACTTCACTGAAGGTCTAGGAAGCAGGTGTCCTACAGCCTGGCTGAGGGACTTAGCAGGAAGGTGAGATTCTCCTTTCCAAACCTGGCCTCTGTCACTAAGGCACAGTCAAGTACTCCCTGCCACATGGGATGGCGCAGGCCAAGACAGGCTGGAGCACTTGGATGTCCTCCAGCACTGCCACCACACACCACCACAAAGCACCACTGTGCCACTGAGTTGTTAGAAGTGACAACAGGAGGAAGTCAAAGTATTTTGATTGGCCAGGAAAAATATATTTCATATCAAACGTGGGTTTTTTTGTTGGGGATTATCTTCAGTAAGAGGGTGAAACAAGCCAACAGAACCTTACATTTCTGTGATCTAAAGAGAAATTTTGCACCCCTGCCACTGAATTGCAATCGGGCTCTGGGGTTTTGCCAACCCTGGTGACATCCTTGCAGCTCTCAGCTGCAGAAATCCTCCCCCATCCAAATGCTTCCTGGCACATTTATCAGGAGCAACCACCATCTGCTAACTACTGAGATTTTAGGAAGTCTTGACTAATTTGAACCTAGCAGTAGTGCAGGGGTAGGTTACACACCGTGGGTTTTATGCTCAAGAGCTTTGAGAAGCGTAGCTGCAGGCAGGAACCTGTTCTGCCACTCTGTGCTGCGGTGAAATCCAGGCTCTAAAACTAAATCACTAAAGGCTAATGTGATGAAGATGTAAATTAGGAGAGGGAGCTCACAGAGGAACAGCTGAGTTCAGTATTTGTGCTTGATTTTTAAGCCCTGGGATTTAGCAAACACCCAGAAACCTGAGGGGGAAACCAGCATCTGCCTCTCCACTGGCAGGGAATACTGAGTTTCAAAGAGGAGGAGAAAGAGCAAGATGAGCAGCCAGATACTGTGTCAGCACAGGGCAGAGTCACTGCAGAGGGAAGGGAAATAGGAACAGGATGAAAAGTGGGCAACTGCAAGCTGGATCTCAGCTAAAACAGGCAAACCCTTACATTCTGCACAAGTATTTTCCTCTCAGACCTGAGTGGTAACTTAACTTTGTTGGGGCTGGATCTTCCTTTCAGCCGAGCATCGCCTGTGACTCAACTGCCAGTCCTGCAGCCAAGGTTGAGGCTTCTTACTCCCTATCCCCAGAAGGAGCAGCAGGGCACTCGGATTTGGCATTTTCCATGTGAAGCCTGCAGCAGCTGCACAGCACACACCATGTCTTCCGTAACCCAGCGTGACGCAAGGCCACATTGCTGCTAATGAGTAGAGGCACTTGCCTTAGTGTAGCAGATTGCTTGACTGCAGAAGTGTCTCTTCCACCCCACCAGCTCTGGCAGGCCTCCACTCAGCTTTACAAAGCAAAAGTGACAATAAAGTTCCAAGCAAAACACAGAGCCTGCAAGTGTTTTCTCTTTTCAATAGACGCCCAAATTCTGACATTCCCACTCTCAGTTTATGGGTTTGGGTCATGCCTGCTCCAGGCAGCTGGGGAAGCGGCTGCCAGTACTTGGCAGGCACCCGGCTGTCTCCCATATGAAGGGACAGAGGAATAAAGGCTAGGAAAGCCAGGAAGCTCAGGAGGAGAGGTGTGGTCCTTCCCAGCATTCTAAAAGGAAAAGGCTGTGGGAACTAGGAATATTGGGTGTTCAGGCAGAAAAGTGACCACTGAAGACAAGAGTGTGACCAATACATGCAAAAACCACAAAGGGAGTCCCCCGTGTGTGGCTCAGGCCAGTACACACAGTGGCCTCACACTGGGGGTGGCCCAGCTGAGGTAAAAACTTGCATGCAAGGACCAGGTTATCATGAGCACAGCAGAGACAAACCAGTCATGCTCCAGGGCTCTGGCTCCCTGCTCCCTCCCTGGTGAGAGGCACAGTGTAACCCCTGCCTTCCCACAGCCTTCCCCTCTGTGCAGTACTCAAAGAGCATCTTTTCACTTTGCTTTTGCAGAAGCAGATGTTCCAGGAACGAAGTGGCCGAATGCTCCAGGCTTTTTCTCCCCGGCAGAGCCCAAACAGCAGTCCTACACGAGGCCGCTCTCCATCCCGTTCTCCATCTCCACCTTGGGTCATCAATAAGACCTCCCCTCCCTCTTCTCCAAAAGCTGCCTCTGCCTCCCTCAGCAGCATGAGCGAGGGAGATGAGGATGAAAAATAAAATATATATTTTTTTAACCATGAGACAGAAGAACAAGCTATGAACTCAACCACTGGATGGGGAGAAGCGTGAGGAACACCAGGGGTATCTCTGACAGCAGGGATCGTGCTCTGGGAGATGTCAAAAATGAACTGGAGCACAGCAAGGGAGATCTCAGGAAGAGCTTATCCCATCCCCACTCCCTCACGCTGCTGGAGCCCAGCCAGCAGCACTTGCCAGGCACAGCTCCGGGGACTGACAGAAAACCACACCCCTGTGCAAGTTCCTGCCCCTGCCTTGCTGCTTTCCAGCTGCTGCTCCAGGCCAGGCCCGCGGGAGCTCTGCACCGAGGGGACTGGCAGGAGGAGCCCAGCTGGCTCCTGATCCAGACCCAGCACACAGGGAAGTGCTGGCTGCAGCCTGCAGAGAGAGAAGACACAGTTGTACCCTGCTGACCTTGAGCTCTTCTGGCACGTGAAGGAATGGCATTGCTGCAGCAAATATGTTGAGAAACTGGGAATAAAGTTGGGGTTTTTTTCTTTTTGAATAACATCTGCCCCAGAGCCCAGATCATGCAGTGAAATGAAGAGCTCTCCAGACAAGTTGATGGAAATCCATTTAACACATTCAGTGCTGCTTGTTGACCAAGCCTCTGTGTGGGGTGTACGTAAGGAGTCAGGCTTTTTGCTTTATCAAATCACTCTGTGTTCCTAGTGCCTGAACAGCTGCCTAATCACTTCTGGTTTGCTCCCTGGCTTTGCACTTGGAAGGCAAGAAAGTAAATGAAAAGACAGCCAGAGCTGGAATGTGGTGGTATAGGAAATAACACAGTTTGAAGATGCTGATGGTTTTTACTGGTGAATTATAAAAATATCCCAAGGCCTTTGGATGTGGCCTCCTAGGAAAACCTGCTGCTCCCTGCTATGTATCAGCAAATGACAAACAGTGCTGTTGTCACATGGTACTGCCAGTACAGCCAGTACAAACTTCTCATCAAACTCTCATATCTAAACAAGATATGTTCACAGACACAAAGTCCCTGCAGAGCATCGCAAGGCTATTCCTCTACACTAATACAGAGAAAAAAAAATTAAAAAAAAAACAAAGGAAACTTTTTGAACAGGATTAGGCACAACTGTTTTCTTTCTCTGTCCATGACACACATACAGCCTCAAGCAGAAACCCTGGTGAAGCTCTCCCCTCAATGCTGATCTTCCTAGTTAGCAAAGCCAGTCCTGCCTGACGTCTGGTTCCGTGTTCAGTCCCTCAGCTGACACCTGCTGGGGTGGCTGCAGGATTCCTGAGCCCTGGGGCTGCTCTGCCCCACAGCTGCAGGAACCCCCAGCACTGTGGTGGGGCTGTGCCGCTGATGCCGTTTGGCTCCCAGGCTTGCCTGGCACGGCTGCACAGCGCACAGGCACGTCTGAGCTCTCCAGCCCAGCAGCAGCTTTGGTGCCAGGCCAGCAGGTAAAGGCTGCCACTGTCCCTGTGTCACAGGCAGCCTTCTTGGCACGGCCTCAGGCAGCCACAGCAGCACGCCTGTGCCACCGCTGCCAGCAATTGCAAACCCAGCAGGACATGCTGGCTGCTGTGGGCAGCACCAGTCACCATTTGCTGGTTCCCTGCACAGGCAGCACAGGAAACGCTGGAGGAGGGAGGGTTCCACGTCTCTCTTGGAAAAAAGCTGAGGGACTGAGATGCCCGAGGATGTGAGGTGGTTGTGCTTGCTGGCAGCAGCTCCCCCTGGCTGCTGTCCTTGCCTCCCTGGGTGACCTGGTTGGTAGGTAGACACCTTTCCAGATACTCTTCTGGGCAAGTAAGTTACAGACCTTGGTACGAGGCACCAAATTAGCCCCACACTCTGCTCACTTCCTACAGCTTTCATCCTTCCTCCACTACCAGGTAACTGATTTTCTTTGGCAACATTTTGCCAGAAACTTCTCAGACCACCACAAGACCAAGTACACAGCATCTCATGCACTTTGTCCTCTGGAGTCAAGCTAGTTCCTTCACAGAGCTGCAAAAACAGGTGAGCAGGAAATAGGGAATGTGCAAAGGGACAGCCACAGATATTTCAGCTGCCACCAGCTGTGTGCCTGATGGGATGATGCAATTAAGACCTTTCTCAGCCTTAGGCAACCTGTTACTGTAATTTCATACCTGGGATGCACTTGTTAAGTTTTTCTGATCCTTTGCAAGTCTTAAGTCTTCCCATCACAAACCACTCCTCCACCACAGGAACTGTTTGCTTCTACTGGTGCTGTTGACAGATGAGCCATATCCAAATGCAAGGGTTTGTTGTTCTTGGCTTTTACCATTGTTTTTTGTTCATTTTACTTTCCTAGCACTTACTGTTCAGCAGCCCTTGCTCAGTGGTTTAAATGGAGACAGCACCATGACTTGTACATGGGAACTAGAGAAAAACTCACCAGTGACCTGTTCTTAACAGAAGCTGTTTCTCAGGGTCACAGGTGGCTACCCAGCAAAAAAAGCCATATTCTCTACCAGGTGTCTCGCTTGCATTTAGGATATCAGTAAGCTGAAGCCTTTGTCCTGCTGGTACATTCACGTGCTGTCTTCTGCAAACCAGGAGCTCATGGTGTCTGGACATGTGGAAGGCAATTTTGCACTTCTGAGTCATGGTTGGGTTTTCCTTTTCACAAGTATTGCTATAATTTAGTCCTATCTATCAGCCAAGCTCCACATGAACAATAAAGTGTATGACAGACACAGCTGCCTCTCCCCTTCATTTTACAGCATCTTTGGACACGTGAACACAACCTGCAGAGGAAACCCCAGTGATGGCACAGTGCCTGTCATCCCCATCCTTGGTAGCCCGGGGCTTTACACCCCCACAAAGCCACGAGAGCAGCTCTGCCAACATGCCCAAAAGGCTGCTGCTTGAGTTCTGCTGCTCTCTGCACTAACAGGATCACCTCTCCTTGCCTTTACCTTGCAGCCACAAAAGTGTGGGTGAAGGTGAGGAAGTGCTTGTCCCAGCTGGAAAGGTGCATTAGACATCAGCAGTCTGATACCTTCTTTACCCTGCCGCCCCAGCACAGTGGAATCAGGAAGCAATATTTTAATTCTTACTTCAAAGTGGAAGAAAGAAACGGTGCTTTTGCAGCCATTCTGATTCCACTGCTGAAAACCATCCCCAGCAACAACTGAGTTGCTCTCATGGGTGCCAAGATGATGTATGGCTGTGCCTGATGGAAAACAGCAGCAGCAAACATGAGCCACATGGACAAATCCTGACACTGGCTTTTGGGCTTGACTCTTCCCTGAACCAAGTCAGTCTGGTGTCCAAATATTCCTGCTTTGCTCTTTCCTGTTTGCTCCTTCTGTAAGAAGTCAGTACCTGCAGAAGCTCTAAAGATTATTTATTCAACAGTCCTGCCTCAGGCAGGGGAGAAGCTGAAACAGCAAATGGAAGCTCAGGACTTCCTAGCCAAGACATTTTTAATTACAGAATAAGCAAATTTCAAAGTCATTGAGCATAGGAGAAAAACTATTTAATGGCACAAAGTCCACACCAAAATGCTCCCAGATACTACAAGGTCCCCTGTATCACCTGAGATGGATTGGGGTCTGTTTTCAGCAGTGCCTTGGTACCACTTGGGAGATGCATAAGGAACATCCTTGGGAGTGAGCTTACGATGTGCAGCCCAGCCCAGAGGGGACCTTTGTTTTGGTTGGTGGCAAATCCCTCAGGAACAAGGCAGTCCCTGAACCAACACCAGACCTGTCAGCTCAGCAGGAAGGAAGGTTTGATGCTACAGTGAATTTGCTTGTCAAAGGGTACCAAACCATCATGGAAAGTCTCCTGTGTGATAGCACATAACTCCCTGACCTTCTCATAAAACAGAGCTGAAAGTGAGGCAGAAAATGGAGCCAGGACTTTGCCTCTTGCATGGAGACCCTTTCAAGTACCAAACCGTCTTAAGAACTCCTCTTTTGATTGGATTTTGACAAGAGCTCCCTTTCCTCTCAAAACCCAACGTGTGTTCCACAAGCACATAGACACACACACACACACACACAGGTGTTTTCTGCCCTTTTCTTTCCAAAGGGAAGGCCCTTTCCTAGTGTTAGGAAGGGCAGCATTAACATTTCTAATCCAAATGGAAATCAAGGCCACTGCCTCATGGCTCTTCCTGAGGGGAGAAGAGACTGATACAGACTGAAATAAAAGTAACTGAAAGCCTTTGGATGTGCACTTTCACTGTGCTAAGTGGGGAATGTGGGACTGAGACTCCAGCAAAAACTGAGGTGCTTCCCAGGACAAGCGCGTTTGCCAGAGCTCCCAGCGGAATGCAGCAGGCTCCCATGTTACAACAGTTCCTCAAATATGACACCTGACACCTGCCCCAGCACTCACGGCCAGTTCAAACAGTTCTTTCACACCTGGTATCTCCAGCTCCTTTTATATACTCTTCAATGGCATCAATCCCTGCTTCAACAAGGAATGGGGAACTGCAAGTTCTGAGCCAGGTGAGGCAGTTCTGCCTTTCACAAAAACACAATTTAATTTTTTAAATGCTTAACAGGATTAACCAATACAAAAATGTTCCATTATCTCAATTATTCCTGTGCCTAAGCACATGACAGCAGGAACACTCAAAGGGAAAATCCTCCCTGGTGGCACCAACCAGGCTGCATGTGCACATCAAATCTCACACATACTCAAATTCTAGAAACAGCTTTGATAGAATAAATTATGTCCTCTGCATCACATTTTGTGGTATTTTTTTAACCATATTCCTGTGATTCTCTAATCATATTTCTCTATAAGGACTGGTTTTCCGTAAAATGAAGTGACTGTGAACTGCAAAGGCATCATCTGGGCAGTAAGAGCAGATAAATTCTAACCTGCTCTTTACAAGTGACCAGTTCTGATTACCAACAGGGGATGTTATTTTAATGTTCTACACACCATACTGGGCTCCAGCTTTTTTATTTCAAAACTAACACATTAACCAGTAGGCATCCAGTTACTTTGCTACTTGGCCATATTTAAGATAGTTTATATCATCATCAGTTTAAAAGTTAGTGAGCTTCATTTTTACCAGTGTCCTGAGCTTGCACTTCTATGGTATGTCACTAAAAGCCAAATGCCAAAACAAAATGGGAAACCATCCCTTGGGGGAAATTTTCGTTTGTTCCACTCATCCCCCCCACCTTGGTTATCTAAAAGGCCTCTCACAAATGAGTGCATTTATTCCAGAAAAGAACAAACCTGACATTTTAAATATTCATATTGTTCACATGCAAACAAAACTGCATAAAGCCATATCCTGTGTAAGAATTAACAAAAGCGCGTTTGCGTTATTCTGCCCCCAGAATAGCTGGTTCCAAATTAAATATAATTCACACAGCATCACAAATCTTGGGTGGCTTGTTTTAATTTCCTTTTTCCTCCTCAAGAGAACCTTTTCTTCAGATGACCCCAAAGCACAAACCTGGTACCACAGCCACAGAGAGAACATGAAGAACTGTTAGAAAACCCACAAGCTCACAGTCTGTATCTTTTAAAGAAAGGGAAAAAAATAATGCTATGAGGTCAAACACCTCTATTCTGACACCTTTAGATTTCCACTTTGGGAAGTCAAATCAATTTGTCATTAAGAATGCAGAGCTAAACCACACAGGAGCTAATTAAAACCCAGCCATTATGCAGTGAGTGGTGGTGGTACCATGCCATCAGCAGAACTGACTCCAGCCATTCTGACCTGAATGAAACTGCACCCACAGAGAACTACCCAAGATATCTCCTTGCATGTTTTACTCAACTGTTTAAAGAAGAACCCCAAAGTTGAGATGCATTATGTATTTGAGCACTAACAGCAAGACAAAATGCATTTCAAAAGACCATAACAAAGCATAACTCCAGCCTCTTCTCCCATCACAAATGGCTATTTGTGAGATAGTTTGAGTGGCAGCCTTGTCCTTTACAAGATGC